ATCTGCATATACAATTGGAAGAACAGACATGATTCTAATGATAGCAATGATAAGACTTATCATTTTCTCAAAAGGATAATCTTATATTTACTAAATTTACGTCGATGAATTGTGATGAATCAATAGATGACTGATTATGTAGACCAAGCTGCATTATTTTACTTCTTAAAACATCTTCCCAAGACTATTAACCTTCTTCATGTTTGCTTAAACCTATAGATCTAATCATAATACTGTTCAATTGTTTGTCTCAGAACATGATAGTAGGAAGCAAAATGGATTGTGATAGCGCTTTTTATCTCAAACTGACATCATTTAAAAAATCTATATATATTTATATATCCCACTAGTTACAATTTTTTACACGTATCGAGGTACTTATTCAGGTATAACTCACGTTTTATTATTGATATGGTTTATTTAGACTCATCTCGCAACCTTATGCTATCTACGATTTTATCAATGAGAAAACACCCTCTCTCCTAGAAGCCATTTTACTAATTAATCATTTAAATTTGTTACTTGTACTTCATTAATAATCAAAAATGTAATCATAAAATCAAATTTCACTTAGAAATTACTCCTGTATACAAACAAATTATAAGTCACTATAATTGACTTTGAAATCAGTTAATGAGAAATAATGTTCTACTAAGTTATACCAGGATTATAATTTAGTCAAGGTGAATTTAAACGGTTTTATATAATGTGGTGTAGCAATTTTTCAATGGGATTGGTGACATTATTTCAACATTTCTGAATCACGGTTTTATACAAGAATTTCAGGGACGTTATGAAGGAAATCACTAGTGAGTGGAGCATTATATTCTAAGGAGATATGTAAAAACTATGACATTTTCCTAGTTCAAATCACAAACAAGAATCCCAATGAATGGGATCTCAGTCATCTATAGGTTGAGGATCGGTGCACAAAATGAAAGTAACTAGTTCCAACCCCATGAAGTGGGGTTATGAATGTCAGATACTAGGATGAAATGGGTGTTCGTTGTCCTCTGATTTTCAACATAAGTCCAACTAAGATCAGCTTGTGACTTAAACTGTCATAGTTTAGTTGAATAGCTTCATAGAGACTGATTAAATTTGTAGGCTGATTCGTTACAAACTTATGACAGATAAATGCTCTAAATTAAAGACAATTAGAATATATTTTAATTTCTTTTAAGCTAAACAAATGTAAAATCACACTTTTTTCATCATTTCTGAGAAGTATTTTTTATACTGTTTGTTCTTCAGTGAATAACTTGACTATGCTGCTCATTTATAAATTATGATAAATTTTAAGTTGAAAAATATGTGAGAATGTAGAATCTATTTCATTGGTTAAATTTATTTGTATATAAGAGTAAATCATGAAGAGGATCTAATTAAAAACAATTTTGTTCGCATATATATGATGTTTCAAAACTTATTCGAAATAATGCTCTATACATTTTCATAGTTGTTTGTGAAAGGTTAAAAGGAAATCATTATTGAAGTAAACACCAAAATATACTCACCTGGTGTTGTTTACATATATCTTCCAATTGTTATTTAGGACTGAAATTGAGCAGTCTTTTATTGGCATATGTGCATACTGTGCGGACTGCCTAAATATTGCCTTAATTCACAAGCATTATAAGCAAAGATGGATAGTGGTTAGCAGTGGAATCCAGGACGCTCGTTTCATCCTATTTAGGATTCGTCAGCTGGATGAACCTGTGTCGCAGAGTTGATGTTCATTCCGGGACTTGAACCCAATATCGTTCGCTTCAAAGAACATCGCGTTATCCACTTAGCTACTGAGTCTTGATAGCCACTTGCTTGTGCAATGAGATGAAGTTTTAAATTCACTTATCACGCACGGAACTCTAATTCACTTCCTTAACATTATATATTGCTGTTTTATCTTAAAAACACAAGGATACATTAACAACAATTTTGAAAATTATCCTCTTTCCTTTTTAAATCATTAATTGCACGACCATTTGATGATGCACAACAATTATTTTTAATTTTCTCAAAATCTCATATTTCAAATTTCACATATGATGTAGATAGAAAACAGCGTGAAATTATAGTCACTCTAATAAATCAATTTGTAGAAACGTTTAGTTTTAATATTTATTATTTTACAACATTTTGCCTGATATTGTGAACTCCGGTTGAAGGGTATAATTGGAAAACTAGAAGAATGCTTTATTAAACATTTATTTAGAGAACGCGAAATCAAAGTTTAAATATGAAACTTGAGGTATAATGTTTCAGGTGTAATACTTCAGTGAACATCGACTCTAGGATGCAGGTATATCCAGCTGAAGAGTTTTAAATAGGACGAGACGTGCGTCCTGGATACCACTGCTAGCCACTGTCCATCTTCACCAAAATATACGTCCAATTTTTTTTAATGCCCATAACTTTTTTAGTTTTGTGGAAATTCGATGGAATTTCGAGGTAAGTTTTGTTAAATGAAAATTGACTTTGTATGGGAAAACCAATTAATAATTTCATAATCCTCAATTGGTTAACTTAAGTATAATTCTATCCTTTTCCTATCTATACAGCTAGAGTTTGTCATTCCATAATCGTCGTTTTTAATTCTATGCATTTCTTTTTAATTAGATTTCTTATGTTCAACTTAACATCGTTATTCTCTCACCTTTGCTGTGTATCTTGTTAACTCCTATTCAAGGTCCAAAATCTGATTATAACTACACAATTATCTAGTTTTGAACTCTTCATAAATGTCCAACTAAAGTCATATATTTCATTTGAGTACCACAGTGAACATCAACTCTGAGATACGGGTACATCCAGATAACGTGTCCTAAATAGAACGAAACGTGCGTCCTGGATTCCACTGCTTCCCACTATCTATCTTTACTTATTATGAACATATACGATGTCATCATTTTTCAAACTAAAGATTTAATAAACTGTTATTTTTATTTAAATGTATGACAATAATCAGAGTTCTAGCTCTGACTATTCAACAAATGTTGTTATTGCCTACAGGTTAGGATATAGATGACTATAAGATTTTATTTGCTGTAATTAGAACCAAACTGCAAAGTAGAATCACTAATGAAACTTCTGGCAAGGTAAAAAAAATTTGTCATCTTATGTATTTTTATATCAGTATAATAAAATTATTTATGATGAAAACGAACAGGTTTGCTACTTTATATCATGTATTATTCGAGCTATCCAAAATAATAAAAAAACCAGATAGCTAGTTTAAATCTGATTTCAGACAAACACAATTGTCACGAGGAGAACTGTTCCAATAATTCCAGAAATCATAATTTGCTATATCAAGTAAATATCTAATCATTATCAAATAGGATTATAGTAACTATTTGATACGCTTACGAAAGTTACTTCCAAATCAGTAACGTAGAATGAGAAATAAACTTAGTAACCTCAGTTCATTGAGGTTGCTTGTTCATCATATTCAGGAAAATCTACCAGCGTGGATTAGGAAAGGTGAATATTAACCAATTACGTTATCAATTTTGCTACATGTAATATACTCATGACGTTAAGCCTCGAATTCATCTTTGGATAACAACTATAGAATTTAATTAAAGATGTCAGATGTACATCTTAGTCTACTTTGTTTAGCACAATTCCGGACCTGAGTTATAGATATCAAAACAACTTTTTAGAACCTTCCACTCCCCATGGTCTTAGTTTCCTTTCTCTTCCATTATTTACTCTTGCGTTTATAAAAGTGATTTTAATTTACTATACTAATTATTACAGAGATTATTTCTATCCAGATTTCTTGATTATCATTCCCAATCTTCGTTTCAACTTAATGATACATACAATTACTCTATTTACTCACTAACCAAATATTTCTGTTATTCCGTAAATATCTTCCTTTAATGAATTACTACATGGTGGTTATAAAATTGACATTAAATTCTCACCTATGAATGTACTTTAACTGAATTCATTTCAAAATTCATCGATTGTAAATCCCAATTTGAAGTGTAATTTTAAATAATGGACATAAGTGAAAACATATTGTATTATTTTATCAGAGCAAAAACTTATTTAAATATAAAATGTATCCTAGTTTTAAGCTGTAATCAATTAACTAGGTACCTGAACATGAATGAGTCTTTAGCTATTATCAACTTGATTGTGAAATAGGATAGTAACTGAGATGGTGGAGAAGATTTGCAGCTCAAGTGGATGATTTTGATGGAGTTTTGTTCTCTGAGCTGGATGGTTTGGTCGTGGAGTTTTCATCGTTCTTCTGAACGATGATGTCGTTCAGAAGAACGATGAAAACTCCACGACCAAACCATCCAGCTCAGAGAACAAAATTTCATCAGGATAGTGACTTTTTATCGAAGAATTATCCAACTTGTAATTAACTTCATTTTCAGAAGGGGTTTTGTGGAGATTGTAGTAATTTTAGTATTTGAGATCTTGAGTTGATTGAAGCTAGATCACTATGGAAAACCTGGAAGCAATGTACGACCGTTTCATCCTATTGTGGGACTCCTGAATAGGACGAAACAGCCATACAATGTTTTCATGTTTTCCATGGTGGTCTAACTTCAATTAACTCATGATCTCAACTATTGAAATTCATTTTTGTTTTCATAAGAATCAATTTATTTGATAAGATATAAAAAAATTAAAATTTATTAAGTATATAAAATGGAGAAAAATAAAGTTTAGTAAATCATACTGTAAGTATTTGTTTAAATTGTTCAATCTGTACAAAAGTTCTGTTTTAAAATTTGTATGTGAACATTGCATAAATGAATGCTGCATGATTTGCTTTTTGCTCAAAGAAAAAAGGTTTTTTTTTAGAGTAAATTAATGATTAAATTACAAAATTGTTGTGTTGTTTACAATATGAGAAAATGGGATATTATCAAAGTACATTGTACTTTATTCATATCTAAAGAGAGAATGAGAGTAAGAGATGAAGATAAATGTGCAAATTACACGTTTTAAAAAAATATTTTGCTTATTATGATCTAATTGTGTTCCGTAGCTTTTATTTCACGCTGTATTGGCGGCATCCATGATTCAGGCCAAATGGTATTCATATCATTCCGCTGTTTGTCATTTGAAGGCTGTTGAATATAATTTGGATGGTTATTCATTGATTCTGCTTTCGGAGCATTATTATACACCTTGTGGGACCATGGATAATTTCCTTGATTATTTGTTTGTGTCAAATAGATATCATCAAACGTATCAATATATGAATATAGATCTGGAGGAGGAGGAGGTAATGGTCCTCGTGTCACTCCTTCATTCGTTCCATCAATCTGACTAATACTTACATCCAAGGGACTTTGTAATTCAGGTATATTATTATATTTTTGCGACGAAGCTGAGTTAGCAGGACTAAGTTCTGATGGTGATGTATGCATAAGCTGAGACTTCTGTGTATCATCTGATCTTGGAAAATTCTCTGATGTGATATGTGCATGGGGAATTCCTGATACTGTAGAATCATCCTCTTCAAACTCTAAATGATCAAGATCTGTTTGATTGTCACAAGAAGAAGAAGGCTTATTTCGGTGCTGGCATAAATCTTTTAATGTTTCAGCTATAAACAAAATCAACATAAAAGAGAAAAAATCGTTAAAAGTTATCCTTAAGCAGGCGAATTAAAAGTGTTTGTAGTATAACACTATACCAATTTTTTCAAATAATACAAATGTATTTGATAATACAAATATATAGGTGAATTTTACATGGTCGTTCTAATGCTCTAATGACTCATCAGTTAGATTCCGCCTAGTCTTTTGATTTTTATCATTTCCAGAAAATCATGATAATGATTTCTTCGAATTTAACTCTGAGATTTATCATAGTGTTTTTGTTATTCTTGCCTTATAACAACAGACTAATTATCCATAATTATTTGAAAGATAAGCATTTAAACAAAAAGTATTTACAATATGAGTCTCTACAAAATGATTTCATCTGCCATGTTTTAATCTAACATATCTTGACTTTCTATAAATTTAGAATGTTTGATTTTTGACTCCTCATTTAAAAAAAATAATATTCATTCTAAATCTATCTACCTTATTTTAACTAATCTACCATAAAGATATTATAATAACGATGAAAGCTGTTTAAATATTGAAGTTACAGTGAAGAAAAGTGATCAGATTTTGTTTGTTCCAAAGGACGGGTTTACTGTGCAGCATTTCATTCCGTCCTACTTTATGGCTGTGAAACATGGCAGGTAAAAGTAGAGGGTATTCGTAGGTTACTAGTATTCGATCATAGGTATCTTCGGAACATGGCTCGTATAACCTGGGACTACCGAGTAAGTAATGCAGTTGTTAGGAAACGGGTACTAGGCAGAGATGGTAAATCAACTGATGAAGTTTCACTACTTCATCAGTTGAGATAGCTGGAACATGTGTTACGTATGCCCAACCACCGACTGCCCCGACGTGTGATGTGTTGTGGTATAGGAGTAGGTTGGAAGAAATCTAGGGGCGGCCAGACCAAAACATGATACAAATCCATGAATTCACTGACAAGTGAACTGAGCCATGTTCGTAGGTGTAAACTACCTGGTTAGGATCTGCGAGACGATAGCAACCTATGGTTAGAGACCCTGAATGACATGGCTCAAAATCGTTTGCAATGGCGCAGGTGCATCCACTCTTTGTGTTCTCCCAAATTCTAATCTTCTGAATTCTTCATGTCCCTTTTTTCCTCTTTCCAAATTTATTTCACTGGATTATACTCCTTGAATAACATCTTCGAACCCTAATCTTCCCGATTACTGCTTATACGCTTGCTACCTCTACCACTATGGGATTTGAATCGACAACTGCATCTCTGTGCTAATGTGGTGTGGCAACTCGAACTGACGTACAATCGTACGGAGTTCTACGTTGTGACTGGCCGACTTATTCCATTTCCATGGTACAGATTGTTTCCAAACACTAAAAAAACAATAATTGGATTACTTTGTCAAATAATTCAAATTCTAATAATGATAGATTTAATGTTTTTAAATAAACAAATACATAAACTTAATGTTCATCGATTTTCAAAGTACCGTTTTTGTTTATATCCTTAATGAGAATCCATATATTCAAAATTTTGAGTTCAGACAATGAGTATCTACTGTTGAGAAGTCTTAAAATGAAATAGAATAAATTTTTTATATTTTTTTCTTTTTTAATGTGGTGCTAGTCTGAAATGAATATTATTTCCAAATAAGAATATTCTTCATTATATAAATAGAGAAAGATGATGTGAAATGAACTAATAGAAGCGTTTGTATCCATTACTTGAATTTCCGCATACTTAATGTACTTTCTTTAAACTGCATCATATTTCAACAAATATAAAGTTCAAACAGTTTGAATAGCTATTTGATTTCTCTATTTATCCATAAATTTCAGAATGTTATCTATAATGAATATGGACTGGAAAAATAGTACTAATGAAGGGATTACTATCTGTTCATCATAAATATCTCAGTTAGTGATTTTTGCTGATGATGATTAATTTTATTCATAAAACAATGAAGTTGTGCATAAATAACAGAAAGTCTTGAAGTCGTATAAATGTTCTTTACCTATTAAACTTAACCAAACCAATAGTGAACTATTATAAAGTAATTTATAAACTGTTTACTACAGTCTGGGAAACTGGGATAATATACAGTATTGTGCTAAGTAATGTCTATACAATACATTAGTTTACATGTTATCAAGTATTCTCAAAAAAATGTTTTTAAGAAGAAATAAAATCAATCTCATTTACATCATGTAAATCATGCACATCTATAGAAAATTTACCCAGCTATGCGCAAGTTAGATTCATTTAAATGTCTAATATAATTCGAAATGACATGTAACCCATTAGAATCTTAGAATAGAAGATAGTTTACATTGTGAACTAGTTTCAGCCATACAACAGTTTTGATCGGCGACTTTTACTTCGTTCTTTCCCGTAAAGACTTTTGATAATTATTGGTTTTTAAAAATATAACAATTATCTCACATACAAGGTAGATTCTAGTCGGTAATCATTCATACACTTTCCAAGGAATGCAGTGTACTGTACTGGTAACAGTCATCGATAAATCATATGTATGCATGTTGAATCATATCGATCAAGTTGCGATGTGGCTACTAGTGTAGGTGACTTGACGTACTATGCACTGAGATGTAAGATGCCAGTTGGAGGCAGCTCAGTGGTAAACATCTCTGAATGTGAGGCTGGGTGACACAGAATCCAATCCGTAAGCCTGTATTAGTTCCTTCAATATTACAGGCATACCTTAATGATGAGTTGCAAATAGCATGAAAGCAGGGTTTCTTGTCAACTCCCTTTAACCACTATCTTACATCTCAACAGAATGCATCACATTGATTAGTATATCTTAAGAAATCTGGGAGAAGAGTTATGAACGTGTAAACTTCTACCGTAATATTTCAAATAAACAGTGTTGAGCTGTATTTGTCGTTCATTACTTAGAAGAATATATTGTGTAATATAAAAGCAGTATTAGTATTTCGGTCAAATGATAAGCACAATTGCCTGTATATTGTGTTAACATAGTAATAATAATAGTAATATGCTCTCCTTTTCTCCAACCTTTTTCGACTTGAAGATAATTTATCAATATAATAAGAATTTCGTGCGTTGGTTGAAGTTAGACATTAACACCATTGGATGCCTGCTCAATGGTCTCGTGTGTGAATCCCGCGAGCGGGATCGTAGACGCACACTACTGAGGAGTCCTACATGAGGACCAAATAGTCGTCTAGTTCTTCCAGGTTTTCCATGGTGATCTGATATCAATCGATTCATAATCTCAATAAAAAGCTTAACAATCTTCACAACTCCATACTAGTACTAAAATAAAAGTAGTTTCATCTCTTATAAAATTTGTATATATTTTGTTTAAATGTCTTAAAATTGTCACAATAATAATTACTAGTATCCGACTTATATACATTAACATATGGTCAAAACTCGGCAATATATATATATACAGAATTTCCTATTAAACACTTAATTAAATAAAATGCATTATATGTTCATTTATATATTCATATAATATAAATGAATATTTTTTGTTGTTGTTGATTTCTCAGCACGAAATATGAACATTAAGAGAAACGAATTCTAATAATATTGACATGAATCAATAAAAAATATATATATATGAGTTTGATAACATTTGATTAAGTGAATTCGCTTGTACGGTAAATATTCGGGTGATGGTGGTGAGGGGGAAAAAGGGTAAACTTAGTTATCAAAATGATAATTTATTACTAACTAATATTATCATTAAATATTTATTTATTGATAAAACACACACACACACACAAACATGTATATATATATATATATATATATATATATATATATACTTAGATACAACATATATTTATAGGTATAAAACACGATGTTGCACAACATTTAAACATTTTAAAACAGAACACATACATATATTATGAATAAACCATTAAAATAAACAATGAACTTACTTTCACTAAAAGCATCAACCATTAAAAGAAAAAAATATACACAGAAATTCAGTCATTGAATAATTGAAAACAAATAAAATTATTAATTTTAAAATAAATAAAAAAATTATAATTATACACATTATTCAGTGAAATATAAATACATTTTATCTAATCAGTTTCAGTGTGACAATTTTATTTTGTTTTCATTAAAATTTATAATTTTTTTAGTGAGTTCTAGGTTGATTGAGATCATGAATTGATTGATGTTAGACCACCATTGAAAATCTGGAAGCACTAGAAGGCTGGGTAGAGACAGGTATCTACCTCAGTACAATGGAAGATAGTCGTACGATTTCATGGATTGGTTGAAGTTAAACATTAACACCGTTTGATGCCAACTCAGTGGTCTAGTTGTTAAGCGTTCACGCGCGAGAATGAAGGCCCTGGGTTTAAATCTTGGAAGGGGATCGTGGATGCGCACTTCTGAGGAGTCCCACAATAGGACGAAACGGTCATCCAATGCTTCTAAGTTTTCAATGGTAGTCTAACATCGATCAGTTCCTGATCTAAATCAAAAACTTAATAATCTCCACAATCCTATACTGATTATTATAATTACACTTTTTAAAAATTTTTATTGAACAGAATAAAAAAATCACTATTTATGTGTTAATGATCATTATCGGTGAAATCGTTCTCTAAGAAATATCTTTATATGAATTTACTTGATATTGTTTAGTTGAATCTTGATATTGATGTTTAGGACTGAAATTGATCAATCTCTCATCGGCACATGCGTATTGCCTCGATATTGCCTTAATTTACAAGAAAATATATCCAGATGACGAGTCCCAAATAGGACGAAACGCGCGTCCTGGATTCCGTTGTTAGTCACTATCCATCTGATCTTCATATGAATTCGGAATTTGAAGAGTGACTTAATTTCTGTTATGATTATAAAATATTTGTCTGTAGCAAATATGAGGACACTTTTTGCAACGATACTATTACGAAATTGTATGAGCCAAAAATAATTTTCCTGTATCTGTAATAAATAATCTCTCCTCTCTTTGGTTGCACTTATGTACAT